GATCGCTTTGTGTCTCTAAAGGAAAGCCGGAGGGATCTCAACACTACGGTAAGCCACGCAAAGAACGAATGACGCAAAAAATCAATGCTTTCAAAAAAAATCGGAATAATAGGGTAGGGTTGCTTTACGTCTAAAAAATTTTTTTTCTTGAGCAGTGAAAATTAATTTCAGTATTGCCTCGTTCCCCTCTAATTCGATGATTTTAAGCTCCATGTCTGAGGAGGGCAGATCATATAAATATAATTGAGGAAAAATTAACTCTATCACATTAAACGCAACTAAACCAAGGGAATGTTTGGATTTTGGACTCAATTTTGTTAATACACGAGCCAGCAGCGTAAAGTTTTGCCTTCAGCTAGCTGAAAAAAGAGTTACATGGAGTTTTTTAGTGTGCGAGTAGTAAATGTGCGGAATGACTTGCCTCTGAATCTCTCTCATACCCAGTCTTTAAATTAGTAAACACTATTAACAGCTCTTCTCCTCCCATGTTGTAAAACGGGAACGCTGTTTACTAAAAATTTAGTTTAACAAATTAAACCTGCTTTACAGTCGTTGCCGGGTGGAGTTACAATTTTCTCGAAATACCAGCTACCAAATTCCAAATCCACTTCTAACCCTTCGACCGCACTTCTAGCCTTTTCTTTCAGGACCCGGTCGCATTTCAACTATCGCACAGTAACCTGGCCGCACCACAACCCCGTTCTTATCCAGACCAGCCGCCCATTAGCCTATTCTTTTCAAAAATTGCCCTAAAGCCTTTGGACCAAGGCCCAATTACAAAGTGCAATAAATATTTGACCACAGAAAAAATTTTTTCTCGCATTTTCTCGACATTTCTCAACACCCCCGCTCTCCTCCCCTCCCACCCCTCTCCACTCGCCCATCTATGCCCTCTGTTTCAAAGGCAATGTAAATTAGAGCATCAGTTTAGACGCGGTGACTCTTTTTTAAAATTATTGTAAAACTTTTTCATTAGTTCTGTATGGTGTTGTGTTTCTTCTTATTACTCATACGCACGTAACAATATATATTTGATTGATGAATAAACATGTCGTATCATGTCGCATCGAAATGCTTTATTTCCTAGAGTGGAAAAGCTTGGCCCTTTTCAGTTTGCAAGCCGTTTTTATCCAGTTTATTTTCGAAAAAATTCAAAACAAACTTGTCAACAGTGAAAAGCCATCTCTTACTGGAAGTTGCGTTGGTGGTAAGCGTCTTGTTGCCGCACAAATAAAAATCGTCATTGCCAAGAAGCATTACTCCTCCGATGACACTCGTATCCACTTTGTTCGGACTATAAACTCCCAGACCTTAGAATGGGTT